GAAAGTCTAACCTCCTTATAAGTGGACTTCTTTAATATAACCGGCAGTCAAAACACCAAGCCAAACTCCGCAGTACTAACTTTCAAAAATCGTTTCGTCTACAAGACTCAGAGAAAAACGCGCCAAAAACGAAACGTAGATAATAGATAGAATGATACCAGTCATATAATAGAGAGGACGATAGATGGACAAAGAACTGTTGAATGGTACCAAAGAGGATGCACACATCATACTGGGCGACCACTGCAAGATGGGCATACGTGTACGATGCAAGCGTCAGAGCTGTATTCGCAGCTGTCAGCGATTTCAGGGTCACAGATTGAGCCGCGCCAGTATCGCCAAGTAGGTAAAAGACTAATTCTATGGACGACAACAGCGCGAGAAAAGCGATGGAAAGATTGCTAGGGCCCGCACTATGCGCGACGACAGGTCATCTAAGTGACCAAGCAACCATGTAGTGATCTCAGGATTACAGGAACCAGTGCTTACCTATGTCTAATGCGTCACAAAACGATGTGAAATAATATAATGTTAGTATATAATAATGATATATATTTATTTATTACCTTATAAGTATGAAAACATAAAATCGTATAAAAGTTTGTTTCACACTTGAATTGACAATGAAAAGCGTTACAGTTTCCACCTGTTCCTGCATCGGTGCGATTGGTAATCTTGAAGTGATTTGTTAGCATGACGTAAGACGAAGTACTTGGCATAGGTAATAAGATGAAATAAGCTTTCAATAATCACTGGGTCTGCGTATCATTACGGCGTCTGCGCCACTACGTCACGCGCACCTAAGGTATAGGTACACGACGAATTATATTTGACGCACTTTATCAGAGAAAAAGTAATCGCACACCAACCGAGTATATGATTGTGTAAATTGTGGAAAATCCTTTGGTGCCTTGCAATAAACAGTCATGCCTTATATAGAGTTAAACTCAAATACTTAAAAGAAAACGATAATTAGTGCTTATTTATCCTCCTGGGAGGCGCAGTGGCTCAGTGGTGGTGCCGCAGTGACACGGCGTCCCGAATCAGTTCGCGGCCGCTCCCCAGGCCTACCAAGCCGGCCATCCCTGCGGGGTCGGTAAATTGGTACCAGAGGAATCTGGGTAAGATAAATGGCACTGACTTGATGAAGAGTGGTCAACTCAAGTCATTGTATAGACCAGGCATGCATTCAACCACATCCACGACATCACGTCGAACATGAATGCGTTGGAGCATCCCGCCACAAGGGATTGATCAACGCCAACAATTATCTTATTATCTTATTTATCCTCCTGATCAACAATTAAAAAAGTCATATCAAAGGTGATTGAGACAAACTACTCGCGAACCTTTCCAAGAAGCGGACGGCAGCCGTCAATGAATATTGATGGTAGATGAGCATGCCGCCACGGAACATCCATTTGTTTTTTCATGAGGACATCAACTAACCACTGCATTGTGACTAGACGTTTACGATCTTTCAAGGCCTAAAAAAAGTCAATTTGAAACTATTTCTAGATACAAAAAAGTTATATTTAGAGCGTTTAAAAACTGCAAAATATGGAAATCTGATCTAAACAACTTGAATAGGTTTTTTTTTAAATCGCAAATCGTTATGAAACATTTAAAATATTTGTAGACCAAGGATAAAAATGAACTCACCAAGTGTGCATGTTGTGTTCTGATCGACTCAACGATGACATGAGTGATCGCACCCGCTCTTTCAGCATATGCTTTTGCTCCGAATTCGATATCACCACCATGCATTCGAATTGCCAATACAATATTTGGCAGGTCTAATTTGTCCGTGAATAATCGATCCATATCAAACATATGTAATACACATCCAGCCAAACATATATCAGGATGCACTGAATACAAATCAAATAGTAAACTATAACATTACAGTCCCGGTATTAACACGCGCGCTAATTTTAGCACAATAAACATCATAGCGTCCAACTTTGAACTATACTTCTCGAAAACCATAGCAGAAAATCGTTTTCAGCAATGGGAACTATTGAAAAGTATGAATCAACTGAAAGACATACATGTTTACACGACGATTAACTGAACACTAATGA